TCCAATACATAACTCTTTGCTAGAGAATAGTCAGGCAGGATTCTTGGTCTAGAAAAGTAATGTGGTCAAATCACTTAAGAAGTGATTACAAGATTTGGAATACTCATTTCAAAATATAATATACCTAGATGAATGAGACTTGGGGCTCCCTTACCCAAAGTAACAATTCTGTTCTTTGTTGTGTAAGAAGACAGTCCTCTGTCACCTCTGTTACCTGTAAAAAAAAGGAATGATATTTTTGTAAATGTGGAGCAAACAGAAATATTAATAGGAGGAGTCAGTCTTCTGACTTTCAGCTGAGTACACCTTTCCCTAGGTTAAAACCTGAGGAAGAAGCAAGTCTTCTGACTTCATACCATCCCTAGATTTAAGATTTGCAGATGAATGTCTTGCATTCAAAAGCTTGTCTAACTTTATCCCAAACTATATAGTTGGTCCAATAAAAGATCTCACCCCAAGAAATCCTTGCCCCTCACATAATTTGTAGACCATTATGGCTACATCATACTTACACTATTATAGACTAGAAACATCTCATGTTGGTAAACATTCACTTGGTGTGACAGGATTCTGTGTGTGTGGATCAAAGAAATCTAGTAACAAAAAAAAGGTCACCTTTTTAATTGGTTGGGTCCTGAATTTTGACATATACCATTGGCATGAGAATGGATGGAAGGCATTTTATGGAGATCCTGTTTTTGTCCTTTCCCCTGAGAATTTAGCCTGAATGTAGCCTAGAATCTAGTCACTAGATACAGGCACACACGTGGCACAACCTTATTATAAAAAGCCAGACAATCCCAAGAGCAAGAACTGCTATCTTCTTGCTATTAAGCTGTAAACAACTGACACAGGAGGCAAGGATTTCTTTAGCTGAGATCTTTTCTTGGACTAACCATGTAGTCAGGATAAAGGTAGATAAGCTTTTGCATGCAAAGCGAGCCATTCTGTGCCAGGTCTCTAGTGATCTCAAGACAAACCCTGCTATACTGGGCACTTCTACACATTCATTCATGTGCCTCTGCATGAGGTGGTAGATAAAGCTGCAGTGGTAACGCACAGCAGCAAAGGTGAATGTTTTTTTCTGCTTAATGCAGCATAGACTAATTCTACTGCACATTAGTAGGCTTTTTGTCTTCGTGCATAGAACAGTATACTGAGCATTAAAACAGCTCCTGCAGATGCACCCACTGTCATTAACTCCCCTCGGGGGCGGTCACAAGGAGACAGCACCCGGCTGATCACGACGTAGGCGAGGGCTGCAAACACGGCCTGATGGGCTGAGGCTGCCCCCTTGAACCCCAATTCCCCCCCGCACTGCTCCTGCCAAGCGGCGGCCGAGCCGGGCCCCCCCGCCCAGCCACCTGGCTCCAGCCCGTGCTTCGAGACTCAGAATGCGAGGCTACATCACAACAGCCCAAAAAAGCGGGATGGTCTGGGACGGTTCTATCATGACGTACATCACCACGCCCCCACCAGGAAGGAGGGAAAGGAGGCAGGCGCCGCAGGGCATGCCGGGATGGGACTCGGCGCCTTCCATCCGTAAGGCCGTCCACCGGAAGCAAGGTCATCATGAACAGCCGGAAGGAAGCGCCGGGGCAGCCGCTTCCGGTGCGGTGGGCTCGGCTCGAGCAGGGCCCCGTGCGCCCAGGGCGGCAGCTCGGGGGGG